TCATTTCATTTCATTTCATTTTAATTTATTTGTATGCCGCCCTTTTCCCTAAGGGGTCTCGGGGCGGCTCCCAACTCAAAGGGAGGGAAAAAACAAAGTTACAGAAAACATAAAACCATAAATAGCTGCCCCTATTTCGAATGGTATGACTGTTGTGCTTTTTAATTATGTATTGTTTTGTGTTGTTACTAAACTGTCTGTATCCCCCCCCCTTCCCTTCTTTGAGCTGTGAGCCGCCCTGAGTCCCCTTAGGGAAAAGGGCGGCATACAAATGAAATAAAACTCAAACTAATTCTATAATTCTAAGCACCTTTCGTTGGAATAAAGAGGAAGCTTGTGCCCAAATAAATACACAGCAGTGTATTTTATAGAAGCCTGGCTTTCAGGAAGTGTGGAGGGGATTGGAAATACTGAAGTGTTGCCTTTCAATGTTTAGATTAAAAAAATTAAAAAAAAGATGAGGACTCTGACAATCTGCAAACACTGCTGAAATTGTGGTTAGCAGGACTGCCCCACCCTTACGCAGAGGCAAACAGTGCTTCAAATGACAAGAGACCAGAATAGGAATAAAGTGGGAGGGAGGGAGGGGAGGAAGCATTTTTATCAACGCTTTGAATTTTTCAAACAGCTCGGGGATCAGCTTGCAGAGCAATGAATCAACCCGTGGAAGACTTTTGAGCCATGTCAACAGACTTCAGAGGAGCAACTTTCTCCTTCTATTTGCTCAGGCAACGTCACTTCTTTAACTAGGAACAACAAACTTGATTCCACCGAGGCCTCGTGAGTGAAAGTTCTCCTTGGGGTTAGCAGATAAGCCTCCTAGGGAAGTCCCAAGGTGGGAGGGGTGCCAATGGTCCAATGGGAACCTTCCAAGTTAAAAGTTCTTTTAAGTTTAAGAAGGGAGGGAGGAAGAGAGACGAGGGAGGGAGGAAAAAAGGAAGGAGAGACAAGGGAGGGCGGGTTGGAGGAGAGACAAGGGAGGGGAGAAAGGAAAAGGGAGGAAGGAAGGAAGGAAGGAAGGAAGGAGAGATGCAAGAAGGAGGGAGACAAGGGAGGGATGGAGGAAGGAAAAAGAGAAGGGAGGGAAGGAGGGAGGAAGGAAGCAGAGACAAGGGAGGGAGGGAAGAGAGAAGGGAGGGAGGAAGAGAGACGAGGGAGGGAGGAAAAAAGGAAGGAGAGACAAGGGAGGGCGGCTTGGAGGAGAGACAAGGGAGGAGAGAAAAGGAAGGAAGGAAGGAAGGAAGGAAGGAAGGAAGGAAGGAAGGAAGGAAGGAAGGAAGGATTTCTTCAGATGGAATGGAGAATTGATAGCCCTACTTTCTGTGCCATTCATTTACACAGTAGACAATCTTACAAGATCATAATCCAAAATTCCCAGCAGATGTTGGTAGATAGCCATGCCTTCGTGTAAATTGGTCTAGATAGAACGTCATACTAACTCCAGCAGGAGCCTCTGAACTGATGGGAAGAGTGTGCAGCAGCTTCAAAGTCTGCAAGAAGCGGCTCGGAACAACCACGAAGGACGGTGGCTTCAAATTCTGAATGGCTCCTGATGCACCAAACACATCCATGTTTACCCAACGAGAAGGTCCAGTTGGAACCATCAGTCCTGAGGTCTCACCTAGGAAGTCCTGCCCTCCCCCTGATGCCTTTTTGAGACCCAGAGAGCTGCATTGGGCCGAAAATTAAACATGGAGATCCTAATTTTACAGTTCAGCGCTGGTTCACACATTTCACTTGTAAGGACAGAGGTCATTTATTCATTCCAACTCAAAGGTTAAGGTTCAAGTTTCCAAATCATTTGCATAACATTTATTTCCTTGACGAGGGCTCTACATTATCGGCGGTTTAAGGCTCTGAGTCACTATGTTTACATTTTCTTCTCCTCGGACTTAATTCTCCCGAAGGGGAATATAGAACGGGATGCAATGTCTGGGGTTATTTTATGTTTTTTAGGGATTCTGGTCGTTTGGGTCACACTTCAGCATAATTTTTATCCCGATCCCTTTCTTGGTTGCCTCGAACGCTTCCATGGCCCTTTCCAAAGGAAAACGGTGGGTCACCAGCGGTTGCACATTGATTTTTTTCGATGCGAGCATCGCGATCGCCATGGGCCACCTGCGAAGAAAGCAAAAGGCAAAAAAAAAGGGAATTGCACACATATCCAGATTTTGAACGGCAGGTTGTGGCAAGGATGATGATATTATTATTATTGTTGCTGCAGCTACTGCTACTACTAATCACTATTAGCCGATAACCCGGGTATTTATTTATAGGGGAGAAATATCGAGACCAAACGTAATTTCTAATGTTCGATTTTCCGCCTTACCAGAGGGAGCCTCCTCATGGAGTACTATGAAGCTGTTATCATGGCATCCCCACTGTGCTGTACAGTAGAAGCCATTTTACCGCAGTACAGTAGAAGCCATTTTAAGGCACAACAGACTGTATTTTAGTAGGACACACACCTCGAGGGGCATTAGGGGTGTCTTACCCCCCACACACAGTATTTTTCTCCAGTGAGTAAGGTTGGAGTACCCCGTGTGTGTGTGTGTGTGTGTGTGTGTGTGTGTGTGTGTGTGTGTGTGTGTAGAGAGAGAGGGAGGGAGGGATAGATAGATGATAGATGATAGATGATAGATGATAGATAGATAGATAGATAGATAGATAGATAGATAGATAGATAGATAGATAGATAGATAGATAGA